GCCAAATAAGAGGCCACGTATCTGAGATGAGAACGGTGCATTGGGTGGAAGGAGCGGAGGACGGATCAATAACCTGAAGGAACGAGCGAGGAAGAGGAGAGGAAGAAGAAGAAACAGGGTGTTAGAGAGAGGGAGGGAATTTAGGTCTAGTGTGATGCATTCACTGACCTTTACTCTATTTGGGGCCTCATCTGTACAAGGTATCTGGAGGCTGTCACGGCGTGCCAACCCCCCGTTTGGCTGCAGAGATCTCCACCGACACCAGCAGCAGTGACACAGACCGTCCTGCCAGCGGTGGAGCTACTACAGAATACAAAGACATCCACTTGGATGATCTTAAGAGAAAGCGTCCTCGCTGAGAGCGTGCGCTGCTCGGCCTTTTGTTTTAACACCTTGTCCAAACATTTCTCGCACAGCTCATTTGAGTGCCACCAGTTCGCTGTAAACACCCACATGATGATTTAGGTCTGAACACAACACTCCGGACCAGACGCATCCATCCGTTCGTCCATTCATCTTCACCGCGCTGCTGTTACTCACTCTTGGGAATGTGCAAGTCCTTAAAGCGGCGGCGAGGCCTCGTCTGCTGTCTGTGATGCTGCTCATTAATTTCAGACAGTGTTTACTGCTGAAACCCTCCACAATGACTCTCTTATTGTTTGCAAACTCCTCTGTTTAAGAGCTCAAACCTTTACAAGTGGATCATACTGTCTGCTTTCGTATGAGTTAGAATACCCAAGTTTGACACATTGAGGCGTATGTTTTGACATCAGTCTCTATTATAACACTGTCACATTTCCAGTGATGTAGCTGTTGAACAAAGCACACGTCTCACATCAAGTTTACTAAACTAAACCTGCACTTTAGCCACAAGCAGTGTTTGGATAAATCAAGTTCTAAGCTGTTAGAAAATGATCTGTTGACAAGCAGCTCGTTAGAAAGATAAAGTTTGTCTTAAGTAACATCAGAGAAAAAAACCGTGCTGCACTGACATTACAGAACAATGTTTAATGATCCCCAATGGGAACAATCTGTGGCTTCAGAAGTGCAAACAGAAACCCTCAATTCGAACTCTCCTATGGCCAATAAAATCCATTTGACTATCAACATTCTGCTACACATTAACGCTCATCAAAACGCTCTTAAAGAGTGCATTAGAGGACCATTCTGGTGAGTTTACATGTTCCTCACGCACATTCAGCTGATTTCAGAGCCGTGTGTTGAGGCGAGAGAGCGGCAGGAAGAGTCTTGTGCATGTATGTTTGCACAGCTTATCGGTCAGCGATACAACAGGTAGGCTTTTAACCTGAGATAAGAGAGATCATAAAGGTTAACGTTAGGGTGATTGCTTTTAAGGAAATAAATTGGGTCAGTTGCGGCTTATATAAACTTTTTATTCTTTTAGTACAAATTCAATTATCTTGGATCCACAAGCAAATCTCTCGACTGTTCCCAGGTCTGGATTAAAGTCAAATCATGATCAAGCATTTGCAGTCAGGGGCCTTGAACGTAATGTCGGCCAGTAGCTCCACAGCTGGCATGTTCGTAAAACTGTTCCCGCTTTTGTGTGTCACCTCTGCGTGTGCGTGCATGTCTGTGTGTGTGTTTACGTGCTGGAGGCAGATCCATTTGAAGCTGGCTGAAGCTTTATTTCCCCAGGCTCTCTCTCTGCTCCACTCAATGTGCAGGGAGCTGATCGATACTGATATATGTGCTGCTTTAGCTTTGGAAAAATAGCTGGGAGAGTCAGGACTTAGGTGTCTCAGTCCTTGAAAAAAAAAAAATCCCATTCTCGTGTGGTTGTGCAGCAAACATGACTGATACTTTTTTTTTTTTGCATTGAATATGATACTAATCTTGGGTAATATTTTGCATTTCGGGCACTTGGCTGTGATGTTTTAATTCGGAGTGACTTAGAATAAGAGCAGCAGGAGACTGAGCTTTAATTGCTGGATTAGAAACCAATATCCAGGCCTGCAACAGTCAAAGCCACAGGGAAGGGAAGAAAAATACGTGAAATATTCCTTTGACCCAAGAGTGACATCTTATACAACAGTGATTTTCTTATTCTTTCAGTAAGAGCGAGTGGGATGTGAATTACTTAACATAGCGGCCTACAATGGGGAAACAGGGAGTAACAGTTGTGCTGACCGGAGCAGGGAGGTCAGTCCAACCTGAAGGGAGGAGAGCTGGAGAGTAGAGGCCGAGTGGAGCATCGACCGGGCTGCTGCAGGGAGCAGAGAGCTGACGAGTGGCAGGAAGAGAGGCAGATGATGGGATTTCACAGATGTAACTGTGGAGGACTGGAGAAAGCGGCAGGTTTTTGACCTGTGCAAAATTTGCTTTGTCATTAGAGGAAATAAAGTGATGGAAAACAACATTACTTATTCATACACAGCACATCAGTCACACAGTCTATCCAACATTGTTTATTCAGAGGTTTTATTGTTTTTTTTTTTTTCTCTTGGACTTGACAGATAAGGAGATGAGACAGATGATACAGTTGAAATGCTTATTTTTTTCATCTTCTTTTCAATTATAAATACATCAACTGGCACAGCACTGAAGACAATGTTTGTTGTTTGTTACTGGTCATGTGATCTGCAGGAGGTGTGGACAGGTTTTAAAACCAGAGGGCACAACATTGTGAGCACTGGAGGGGGGAATACGAGATGCAGACGAACATTTTACAAAATGTTTGAGCTTCATTTAACAGTCCAGCTGGTGACAGGAGAATAAGAATTCCTGCATGTTTGGAAAGCTCCAATAATTGATTTATTGCTGGTAATCAATATTTTGACTAAAATAATGTTAAGCACATGCCCCAAAAAATTCACAAAAAGGCAAGATGTTAGTGTAATAATGCCAAATTACTTTTTTTTAAGGATGTGACAGAGTTTTTGTCTGTGATCTTTTTTTTTCTTAATTAGAAGTTAGTTTATATCTTCTCTATAAGTCTGAACAGTTAATTGTTATATTATCAAAATAGCAGTTTTAAACAGTGCAATTTTCTACTTACAAAAGCCTCCATTTTAGATATGACTATCATAAATAACAGTGTCTCAACAAGCTGAAACAGGTGAAAGCTTAAGTTGGCGACTGTATATTTCACCAGCTATAATGAAAACTGTCGGTGGCAGATTTACTTGCTTTAGTTAAATAACATTAATTCTGTGAACTGGCAAACAAGAAAAAAGAAGCTCTAGCTGATTTGTGGTTTATTTGTTCTCTGCTTTCTGGAGACACACCACTCTGGAACTTGGAGGGCTGAAAAGAAAGAGAGTGTTTCTCTAAAGAAACTGTTGTGCAGTTGAGTGGAAAGGACAAACAGCTGGTGAATCTCACAGTAAAATTGTTTTAAGCATGAACTAATCTTAACACTTTAAAATCTCTGTATCTGGACTCTGTGGTTTGGGCCTGTGAAGCAGATTCTCTCCTCTAGGGATTGAAGTTAACATTAGCTTAAGCAGCTACAATACACAACTGTGAACACTAGTTGCAATAATTGTCAGAAAATCCGCTGTTTGGCAAATAGAACTGCAACGATGAGCGGATTTCTGGGTTACAAAAAACTAATCTTTATCATTGATTCATCACTGTTGTTTTTTGAGCAGAATGGCAAAAAGAATCTGATGGTTAAAAGTTCTCAGATGTGAGAGCATGATGCTTTGCCTGGTCTTGCATTTTAGTGAATTTCATATTTTTGCGTTGAAGGTGTCACTTTGTGCTTTTGAATGTTGTTTTTTTTTTATGTTTCGTAGACAAAGCGATTACTGTAATTGAGAAACTACAGAGAAACAGATTAATTAATAACCTGTACCTGCAGCCCCTGATGGCAAACTTGTCATATATTTGTCCCGTTCAAGTATCCTTTGTCCAGTAATTAGAAAGCAAGTGAATTGTTTCTAGTATGACCTTCTAATTGGAGACACTGTTGTGGACTGTTAAATGAATAGCAAGCCAGAGGCGTGTTGAAGGACAAAACTCTTCTCTCACTTTGTACTTGCTACAGTAGGTTTTAGTTTGCAGTAATGAGGCACAATTAAATCACAGGCTAATTGTGGATCAAATACTACTCTGTCACCAGGAATGGTTATGAAGCTATTATTACTCTGAAGTTCACATCCTTCTCAACCATCATGCCAGACCTGAGTTTGAATTCTTGTTGTGACTCATTGGACTTGCCAGGCAGACAGTCTGTCTGTAATGAGCTAATCCTGCACAGTGGTTCCTCAGACATAATCCCAAAACACTGCATGTGGATGATTTCTGCAAGATGAAACACACAAAAGCCCGTGAGTATTGGACAGGGAAACATCTTTTTACAGTAAAAATGAAGCTATAGTCTTTGTTTTTGCGCATGACCTCCCATTTTAAGTCTGCTATTCAGCATAACGTTTCCTGAGAGATGGACTCAATGATTCTGCTCAGGAAGACAACGGAACCAAATGATTAGAAATAAACAAAGCAATGAGTTTTCAAACCAGCCAGAGCTGATTTCTCATCAGGGTGTTTTAAAACTACAGTGGAGCTGGTTGGGAGCACACATGGAAAAATAAAAAGTCATCAAATATCTGGCTCTTTTTATGGGCTGCAGACTTTTTAAAGTAACAGTGAAATGAGTTTTTGGAAAAACACTTGGTAGAATACAACATAAAGTTAATGCTCTTTTAACTCTCTGAAATGGGAGGACCATGCCCTAAAAGTAAAGGCCTCGTATACTTCCAAATCTAATGCTAAAATATGAAAATGTGTCAACGTCCAAACTGTTTTTGAGTGCATGTTATGAACATCCAGTTGTGGTTCCTTCTCATGCAGTTGCTGGTTGTGATTTTTGAGACGCTGTTTTTGTTGTTGTTGTTGTTGTTGTTGTTTGCACCAAACAAACAGTATGAATACATTCTCTTATCTGTCCTTCTGTCTCGACGTGTCGCAACTGTCCGTTTCAGTGACAACCCTCATCAGATATCTACAGACAAATAAAATTTTTGTTTTTCCACTGACATGTTCATATATCTTTTATAAAATAAATCTCATATTTCCAAGTATACAATAATAAAATGATGCACTCTGCAGAAAAAAGGTAACAGGAAATTCCATATATACATAGTATATTATACTATTTTGGCAGACAAGAACATGGACAAGTTCAGTATTGTAAACAACTCTTTACTCTCGTTACGTTTTCTTCTTCGTTCACTTCTTCCATTTTCTTCTCGTCCCGCTCGCTTCCTCTGTCCTGTTACATTCATAGCTCCAGAAAATTGTGCTTTAAGAAATCTCGTACAACAATCCAAGGGCTGTTTTTCTCTTTTGTCTCGTCAGGTAGCACCCCTATCCGCTGAGTAGAAGTGCACCGTTTCTGAACAGTAGTAATGTCTTCATGAGTCACGTGGCTGGTAGTTCACTAGGCCTTCCCAGCTCACCCAGGAAGTGAGAAACAGGGTCAGACAGAAGAATGGAGGACAATGAACCTCTGGTAGTGCAGATGAGGAGATTTGAGTTTTATGAGTGGAAACATTATCAGGGTGATTTATGTTTGGCAGAAAACTTCTGCTTTTGTATTATCTTCTCCTTTTAAGCACAAAGGTTGTTTTTGCTGGATGCTCGGATTCAGCATTTATATAACTGGTACCCGTCACGGTTCGGCAGCATCAGATGTGCAGCAAATGTTTACAAAGACACTTGCACACTTTTCCAGCCTTCAGTACAACGCCTGGACATTTAAAGACTTAGAAATAATGACAGTCATTTTCCAAAAACTTCAGCTGAGACCTTCTGTGATCTGAACTTGGGTAGGATTTGTGTCTTCGCGTAGTGGTGGCATTTTATTGATGATTACAAGGCAGAAGTCTCTAAGAGGTTACAGCTGTGCTTGGGATACAGGAATGTACTTGATGGAATGTGGAAAAACACTGGTGTGTGTGTGTAGAGCGATGATGCCAGAGTAAAGAGAGAGGGAGCTTTGGGTTTTGAGCTCAGGAGGCAGGAACAGAGTAGAGGTCTGAACGTGGGCGCCAGGAGAGTACCGGAGCAGGACTGTGGGTCTTTAGTTGTCCTCGTCAGTGAGCTCCTCCTCAGCAGTGGCCTTCTCGGGAATGGCCTCGAGGCTGCGTCTGCTCTTGGACTCGGAGCCGGAGGAGCTGCCCGCTGCTCCGCCTTTACTCAGGTTACAGGTGAGCACAGCATAGTGGATCTGCTTGAGGTTCTCCTGGACTTCACTCCTGGCGTGCTTCAATAAGTCTGCCTGGCCCTGAGGGGGTAAAGATAGACCAAAGTGTCAGAGCAGCATAGTACAGGAGCCATGAAGGCAAGACGGGGTTTGGACTTTTCATGCAGTTTTACCAGTCAAAGACAAAACCAGTATGAATGATGAGTAGATTAACCAGTGGGCTCCTAGCTACTGTGGCTAGCAGTCCTAATAATAATAATAATAATAATGATAATAATAACAACAACAACAAATTAATAATGAATAATAACACCACAAAAAATATCAAAAAGCACAATCAACTGTCACAGCAATGTCACTTATAATTTATACATGTGTAACCCACCACCACATACAAAACATTTTCAATATTCATTTGTAAATGAAGCTTTCTATGGCTTTTTTTGAGGGAGCTGAATTCAAGACCTGCAAATAACATGGCAAAGTTGTAAGGAATGTGTTTAAACCCCTTTCAAACATAAACCTCGTCATGTAAAAAGGATGGTAATTTGACATCTGCCTCATGTCTGTATCAGCACCTGAGTCACTTTTACATAAAACTCACTGCAGAATTCTTAGTAGCAGCACAAGTCTGAATTAAATGCTATCACATTAACATAAAGGCCACAACAGTTCAAGGCTAAATACAGAGAGATTAAATGTGCATTTTAAGCACTGTAATAAACTGATCATTTAATTTTCACCTCTTCCTCTTCTGTAAAGAAAATAAACATTGTCAGGTGGCCATGTGAGCACTGAAACAGGTTGTGCAAACGGTAATCACGCTAAAAGGATCCCTTGTTAAAGGCATTTCAGTATGAGTAATGTGGAACAAAAAACTTAAGCTGATGATAATGTCAGCTTTGGAAATATCCTCTTTAGTTGACAAGCTCAAAGTGAGTCTTTAAGTACCAAAGACCCTCTTGTGTTACTGTCCCTCTACTGCAACAACAAGGAAACACAAAGCAGAAATATTAAATTTAGATAAACTAAAATGAACCACAGTAATGATGGCCACCTGACTGTTGTTATTAGACACAAAACATGTGATCATACCCTTTAGTAAAGGAGATAAAAGAGGAACTGGGGAGATTGTTCTCATGTAAGGCCAGTCTATAAAAGTTATTTTAAAGAGCAAGTGAGGGAATAAATACCCTCATACAACCACAATAATTATCAGACCAGCAGCCCCCCTCCTTATATTTTCACTTTTGCCAGCTGCATGAGTGACATGGTCGGAATATCAAGAAAAACACTTGGTCTCAACATCCTGTCATCATCATATGCTTCTGCACTGTCAGATGTTAGAAAATAGGCAACAGAATCTAAAAGTTTATCAGGGGATTTAATAGTGAGAGCATCTCTCACACTTACAAAGGTCACACAGGCATTGTAGCTATTCCTGTAAAGGTCCTGTCATGTCTGTCAAAAACCATAAGCCACTTTACCAGCTAAATGAACCCAGAAATATTAAATATTCCACCTCTGAGCAGGAGCTTTAGAGAAGTTTTTGTACTGAGTTTAGAGCTTTGTTGGATAGTATCCATTTTTAATCTTCAAGAGCTTAAGTCGATAACTTGACGTACATTTAATGATCATCAAAAATCTCAAGTCTGCTTAAGTAGTCAGATAGACACAAGTGGAGCCCCAGATAGAACATGGACAGAAAACGCTGGACACAGTGATTTACACACACTCACCAGACTCAACTCAATTTCCAGGGGATAAATTATAGCCGAGATCGTGATGTAATCTTAATTAACACGTGCAAATAACACAAATAAATATGCAGAAGGTCATTCATCAATAATTATCCCTTGTGCTGGCAGCGGAGGTTGAAATGAAAGGCATGGTAAGTACATGAGGTGCAGAGAGGCTTAGACTGGGTAGACAAGTGACTCCCTAAACACTGGTGCAAGCAAAAACTTCAGCTAGCTGTAATATTACCTCCAGCATACAAATCTCTGTTTCATCAGACACGCTTTCAAAGTTAACCTGTTACACAGAAGCTCGTCTTCGTTTGTCCTATTATCAAAATCAATTCGCTGTGATTACAGACACTAGGCCTGAGTGGTGCGTCAGTATTACTGTAGCTGTTTATGTACTCGCTCTACAAAATTTCATTTTTGAAATTAATGATCGACAGAAAATCAATCAGCAACTACTCAGCAACTAATCAACTAATCATTTTGAGTAATTTTTTTTTTTAATGGGGGAAACATTTGCTGCTTCTAAATTGTGAAGTTTTGATGCATTTTTATGTTTTATATGATAGCAACCTGAATATCTCTGGATTTTTGATGTTGGTCGGATAAAACAAGACATGACCTTTGGGAACAGGTATTATTCACTTTTAAAGAAAACGTTTTCCAGACAAAACAATTAATCATTAAGAAAATAGTCATTAGTTGTAGCTCTAATCATTGATTAATGATCAGCTAAAATGTGAAAGTATGATGGAAATAAGGGATGAGGTTTATCTATCATTGTATCACATTTTTTCAGCAGTATATAACAGGCATATTTAATGATATAATTAATCAAAGTAAAATGACCTGGACCTGCATAAGTAGCAGAAAATGGATGGGTGAATGATTCATTTAAGTTTTGTCTAAAATCAACACTTGCCCACTATAACATGATGAGCTTCTAAGCTACTGTAGCAACAGTGTTCTGATGAAAAAGGATTAAACAGCGTCTTGTGTGCATAATCGCAACAATCCCACTTGTACTTTATAGGTGTGTAACGCCTTCCAACAGCCTGGAGTCAGATGTAAAAGCCTTTTATAAATAACATTACTAACTATAGCAGGCAAGATAAAATATTTTCAGACTCCATGACCTGCAGATACCCTGTGTAAGCTGACTTACAGAAACAACTCTCACCTAAACTGATAATTCTTTAATCAGTGTGAAAGAATTTTAACTGATCCAAACAACCACAACTGCCACTTCCACAATGACTGGAAATAAGGCAAAAACAACACAAAATACCTCCCTGTCTCAACAAGCCATCAATTAACAACAACACAATGTAATACTGAACCAGTGAAGTAAAATAAAACTGAAACTCAGTCTGATTCACTCTTAAGAAACTTTGTCAGTACAGGATTCAACAAGTATCATTTATCACCAAAAGGGATCATGGATAGATACTCTGAATTTCCCATAAGCTCCCAGTCATTATGTCTGTTTTCCAGCCCCCATTTGCAGTAATTATAATGACAACTGCAGTTGGAAACCAGTCTATTGTACAGCTCTAAGAAGCTGTCACATAAGAAGAATAAGGTTTATGAGGAAAAACTCCCCAAGGCCACGACCCCGAGCATTTCATTGTGTTGCAGGAATATGAGGAGTAACACGTTTCAGAATACAGCTGGATGCGACTCAAACAGGAAAATAAACTGTTACATGTCAGAGTAGTCAGTAGTGCACTGCCTGGTGTGACTGGAAATCTCACCTTCAGTATGGTGATGTTCCACGTGAAGCTCTCCACTGCCTTGTGCAACTTCCTGCCCTTCAACCCCTCCTTCATGGCCAAGTCGTGGAGGTTCTCGTGAAATTCCATCGCTGAGAGAGAAAGAGACAGGGGAACAAGTGTTGAGTCAGTCTTCATGGCTGGAATTCGTGGTGGTTTGTGAAACAGAAGAGCAGCTGTGAGGTGACTGGGTGCTAGGCCTGTTGTTGCTGTGAGGAAACACATTAGAGCAAAGCAAACCTTGGCACGCATAGCCAACATTTCACAGTCTCCTGCTGCAGCAGAAGGGTTGAGTATGTGGAAGTACAGACACTTGCCAGCTGTGGAGGAGGATTCCTCTCTCCTTACTGTACATCTGCAGAGTGATAATGGTTTACAGTTGCTGCTGTTGCAGGTTCACTGTATGTCAGGTCTGGAAAACAGACATCAGGTGCACATTTCTCAACAAATTTAAGCTGAGAATGAGATTTAAGATGTGAGGAAGTGATAACAACCAGCGTCTGCCATTAAAATGATGATATCTCTCATTATTTTGTGGAAAGCGGATTTGGTTGAAAGAAAATCTTTGAGAGAAGAGAAAATGTGACAAGACTGAGCATGTGTTTTACAGCAAGCGTCGGTTATTTGATAGCTAAGAATGTTTATCTTTGATCTCCTACAGAGCTGCAACGATAAGTCAATTAATCTTTTTTGTCGACCAACAGATCGGCAACTGTTTGGATAAACAATCATTTAAATAATTTTTCAAGCAAAAATTGTAAATTAATAAAAGAAGTAATGTGAATAAAGGTTCCCTATTTGTTTTTACAATCCAAACAGCGTTGCATTAATTTTCATTGTGTTGTCTGTCCCTGTCAACCGGCAACGGTCTGTTGAGCGTGTGCCCTCCTTCTGCAACGCCTTGTGTCACTTCATAAATTTGAAATCTATATCCTGCAGTGAAATGTTAGTAAGTGGAAGGTAAAGCACAGTGGCACATCCCAACGAGGTGCTGATGGGATGACAGGGGACAGGCGTGGGCAAAACCTGGTGAACTGGTGAAAAAAGAAATGGAGAGAGAGAAAAAGCAAAAAGGCAAGATAAGTGAAAGAACAAAAAGCAGAGTTGAAGGAAGCAGTGAGGCAGGATGAGAGGAAGAAGAAAGAGCCTCGGAAACAGAGAGAGAAGCAGACAGACATGACGTTCTTTCACTGTGGATTAGCATCAAGGCATCGAACAGAGGACGGATTTGTCTCCTGAGGAGGTTTCCCACCTCCTCTTTTCCTCCCCCTTTCTTTTTTTTCCGCCCCTTTGCATGACTGAGCCTGAGTGAGGGCATGTTTAATGTTCAATGTGCTTTATAGTGCAGCACTGACACTGCAGCAACAGGCGACCCTCGCCTGTGAGGTAAATAAACCAAAGAGAGATACAGCAGAGTTCCTGCTACGCACAAAGCCTGTAACTGCGTAGTGCACTTGTGCACTGGGAACCACCGAGAACACACACTTTTCTGCTTGAGGCTCTGATATCAGCTAGAGTCGGTCCTGGCCCCTGTTGGTGCTGTTGCCATGGAAACATGGTGTGCACGTGAGAGAGAGAGACCCCCTTCGTGTGAAATCACCATAATAGGTGTGGGGTTGGGCTGTTGTGTAGCCTCTCAGCTGTGGATATAAGTCTGGCGAGAGACCTCAGGCGAGGATATAACCTCACACAACCGTCAGAATTCGCTGACAGATCTGACGCGTTCATCATCTTTGACCCGCACACCACACCACTGCTTCTAAATCACACACACACACTTTTATTTTTACATTTCCTGTGTTTTAACACACATGTAAAGGTATTGCTCTTAAATTTGGGGTCGCGGTTCTGCGACTACAGAGCTGCTGCTGCGCACGTGAACCATGACTGTGCTAAAGAAGGAGCACAGCTTCCTCCATCACTGACACACACACACACACACACACACACACACACACACACACACACACACACACACACACACACACACACACAGCGAACTCACACTGGAGGTTGCCTAGCAACATTTTTATGGAGTCTGGCAGGCAAGAAACAGGGAATCTCATTCTTAGCAAGGCATTTCAGACTCTGATCTCTGTGAGGTAATGCTGCAAGACTGCAACTGTACAGTACAGGCTGACGCTCTCACATCTCACAGCATGAGACGACTACAGTATGGAGCGGCAGATCAGAGGAGCATGACCTGAATTATTCAGTGGATTGATAACTGATAATTCTTATTCAACAAGAGATGATCACATCTACTCATACCACCGAATGCCAGCACTTCATCAGACTGAATACTGAGGGAACGTGACAAACCATGACTGATTTATAACAACTAGGGCTGCAATTATCAATTAATCTGATGGTTATTATTTATTCAATGACATGTCAAAAATCTGTGAAGGAAAGGCCCATCACTAGTTCTCAGAGCCCAATTTGACATCAGTAGTTTGCTTTTGTGCAACTCAGTCTAGAACCCAAATTATATTCAATTTATGTGACTGTGTGTATTACATGACCCTGAAAAGCAGGTAATCCTTACACCTGAGATGCTGGAATGAGGTGAAGTGAATTTCTGGCATTTCTGCTTGACAAATAAAACTAATCAAATTATTTTACAAATCATTTCAGCTCTAGTGTTTCACTAAACGGGATTAAAAAGTAGAAACAAAGTTGAGCAGAAAACGATCTCACATTACCAGAATAGACTGAATATTTTGGGGTTTTGAACTGTTGGTTGGACAAAACAAGACATGAATAATGTTACTTACTTCAGGATATTGTCATGGTGCTATAACACATGCTAAATGAATCTAGACAATAATCAACAGATTAATCAAGGATGGAAATAGTTAAGTAAAAATATATAATAAAGTATAGTACTCAACCTCTCCACACACTGAATGAATAAAGCCAAAGAACAAATATCTCGTCAGATCGTTTAGTCTCAGGGAATCCACATTGTATTTTAACATGTGCAACACAAACATGGGCTCTTTGTATTCTGCACAGTGTCACTGTAACTCCACGCTGCACAGCAGAGCACCATCATTTTGCACTCGACATATAAAATATCTTCTGTACTGATGTTGTTAGTCTGCAACAGGTTCAGCCATCAAGCTGCCCTGAATGCTAATTGGAACCTAAGTGAGTGTCGGGCGAGGGAGGTGACACGCTTGAGCTGCAAACACCTGACTGTTCACTGACGCTGCCTTTGTGAGGATTTTTTTTTTTTCTGAGCTGATGTGATGGATTATTCACAACTTTAATAGCTGTTGCTGCTGGAGCGTTCCGCCTTCTGTACAGAGGGACTTGGGTTTGTACTGACCCAGTTTCTACACAACAGACAAGTGCACGAAACTACATCGCATGCACACATTCAAATACAAACATGCACACGAGTGCACCCACATGCACACACACACACACACACCACTGGGATAAAAATATGTCAGTTCAGGATGGAAAATAAATCAATGTGGAAGTTCATCAGTTTGCCATCTGTTGTGTCCTACTTTGCAATTGTTGGCTGTTGATTTTTTTCCAGCTGATTTCAGATAATCATATATGATAGAACTTTGAGACCAAAAGCCCCACAAAGCTTCTGAGGAAGCTTTAAAAAGTTTGGTCTGCTTGAACGTGTTCACTTCTGTGTTGACTATTGTTTCATATAAAGGAATGAATCACTCTGTCAAAGCATTTATCAATAAGTGACTGTGCAGCACAAAGAGTGGTTACATCAGATCCTGTTGTTTCTAAGTGCACTAGACATGAAATCATTAGTGTCATCTGCCTCACAACAGAACTTCACTGATAATGAAATGTCATTTTCTTCAGATAAAGATCTAATGATGTCATTTCCTTCAGTCTTAAATACTTTGAAATATTTCAAAAGAGTGATTAATGTCCCATGGAAGATGAACAGGTACAACAGGGGCAGTACAATAATGCACACTTGGACATGTACTCTCTAAAACAAACACTGTAATATTAATGTGTTGAACCAGCACATTTACAAACTGTACATACTTTAAATAATTTCATACTGTGAACCGTTCTCAAAATAGCCAGTGGCCTTGAAAATAGAATAAGAAAGATGATGATGACAGTTCTACAGATGAAATGGGGTCATTATGACTGAGGAGCTCAGACACAACTCACTCACTGGTACAGTGGCCATTTTAAATAGCACAAGTTCAAACACACCTTCATCCCACTAATTGGTAATTGTTAAGGGCTGAAAGGTGGTCAACCAAAAAAAAAAACACGGCAGCAAGCCTGTGATTAAAAGACACATTCCCACTCCTCTCTGATGTGCCAAGACAATAGACAATGAATATTTTATAAATCATCCATCTGGAAACCAATAAAACTGAGCTGTGGTAATGATGGTCCATCTTTGCTCCCTTCCACTCTCACTTAGCGCCTCCAGCAGCCTTCCTCTGTGATAAATTAGCTTCCTATGCTACTTAGATGGAATTCATTGGCACAAAGTGCATCATGAGGCATATCAATGTCAAAATTGAGCTGCTCCTCATTTACAGCTTTTACCTGTATGTCTGGTAGACTGTAGGACGTTTCATAAAACAAGTGTTGTCGCTGGAAAAAAAACTGACCTTGTGTGTGTGTGTGTGTGTGTGTGTGTGTGTGTGCGCATATTCTTAAATCCTGCAGAGCCTGCACTGATGAGCTGCCACTCAAACTGTGCTCCCCAGACGAGCTGAATGGATTAACTTTACCCCTGGCCACATTAAAGTCAACATGCTACAGCAGGCGAGAAAGCCAGGGCTGGATAAACACAAATAAATACACATATGAAGGTCTAGCTGGTATGGCGCGTCTCGTGGAGAGGAACTATAGACGACTGCCATCTGTTAGCTTTGATGTTGCCAGTTTCTCCGGTTCACTCGTATCTGTGAACCTTGATCCAAACCTTGTAATTAGAATAAAGCACAGAGGCTGTTACTGGGGTGAATTAAACACCTCTGTCTGAACCGCAGCTTTTCAAAGCTGGATCACATGAATCAAATGGTAATTCCACTTGTGCAAATAAGCAAAGTATAATCGGTTCTACTGAATCTCATATTGATGAATCTCTGTTCTGTGCCTTCAGAGAGATGGCGAACGTTCAGGGGCTCGATAGCAGCGTCGGGACTCACAGGCTTTTATCGTTCTTCCCTTTTAGCCATCTGACCATCTCTTACCTGCTTTCTGGGTTTGAAGAATTCTCTCATACACCCCCTCAGAGTTCTCCAGGAGAGTCTTGCTGGTCTGGATCACCTGAAAGGAGACATGCATATTGTTCACATTTGCATTTATTTTCCACATCAGAAAAACTGGCACTCCACAATAAAGCAGCCGTCTGGTGGCCGGGTGTTTCTGTCCAGGGAGGGCTCTGAAGAACAAGCTGTTATTACAGGCATGGCAGTGGGCGAGGTCACTTCATTGCATTTTTGAAAGCCAAAATTAGACGGAAGGAGACACCAGCTATTGGGGTGTTTATTAAAAGTAACGTTAAAAAACAAGAAAGATTAGAGATTTATCTGCAGGACAAAAATATAGATGTCAATACTGATGCTTGGTGTGGAAAGCACCTCTTCAAGAGATGAGGCAGATAACCAAGGTCATTTGATTACGATGGGAGTAACGTGAGTCATTTTGAACCATGTTATCTGTGAAATTGCAGCTTTGAAAGATGCTAAGTTTAGCTCCTCTGGTGTTATGCTCAGCCTTAATTGAGTGCACAAACTCTGCTGACCTGCAAACTGTTAAAGCTCTCATGGTGGCCGTTAAGGCAGACTCAAAGGCTTCGGGGATCCATTTGCATATTAAATGCAGAGACCGCATCCTCCCCGCACCGCCCCAAAAAGAAAAAAAGGCTCTGGTTTCCTTACAGAAGGACGACAGCAGAATGGTGTTTCAGGAAGTTAATGATGCATATGTAGCCCGTCACAGACAGAGGTAAATAAGCACTGAGTGAACAGAGTGCCTCACAGACCATCTGGATCTTCCTCTGATTATCTTAGTAATAGCTTAATTGTCTCATCTAAAGGAGATGATATATACACAAAAGTTGCTCTGCTTTTTGATTTCAATTAGCGCCTGTTGGGCACTGGGGCCTGTGTGTATGCAGCATTGTTGTAATTGACTTGTACATTCACTTGTACTCTCCCTAAGTGCCTTAAGTGCACCGCAAGGTCGTGTCACACAGCCAGGCTGCCCTGCTCTGGTGCCAACAGGGAAAGGAAGGATAGAAAAACACCATTTCAATCAAGCTCCGTGTAGGAAAGCCACCCCGTGAAAAAGAGCAGTGACCAACATCGTGCCTCTGACATCGATCTCTGGAGCACGCCAGCTCCGTGGCCGGACACCCAGAAAAGTGCAAGAGCGAGTAGGGAGAGGAGTGCAGGGAGGTGTCAAGAGCAGCGTGTAGGCGAAGAACAGAAACTTCTTTTAGAGACAAAAGATGAACGAACATTCATCCAAGGCTTGAAACATTTCTGTTTTCTCAGACTTATGTGTTTTTTAAACCTCCTTTTTTCACCTATTTTTTTATTTTGTTAAATACTTTTTGTATTATTTACTCATTAATTGGGATTTGTTTTGAGATGATTTTATTATATTGAGTAATTTTTTTATGCTGATGTTAAACACCTTCAATTGACATTGTGTATGAAAAGTACTTGCTCATCATTTATCTGTGTCAATCACCTCAATTGTCACTGTGGTTAATTTGCAGTCAAATCCACATACACCGTCCTGCTGCTGGGAATTTACTAGAACACCAAATGTGTATTAATCCTGTTCGAGTTAGCATTTGATATAAGCTGCTGTGCACAAGTTTCTTTTTTTTTTTTTGTTGTTGGTAGAAATGAAACTATATTTTAGTGACCTGTTTTTGAAGATTAATGTCATCAGTGAGAACCAGTAGGTGTGGGGCTGAGTGTCACAGACAGGTTCAGGTGGTCAGAATCAGACTAACGTGGTGGTGGTTTTGTCTTTTCATTAAATTTGTTAAGAAATAAGATAAACACCAGACTCATCCTGTAAGAGCACTGTGCTAGGAAAACTAATCAGCAACTCAGGCTTAAAGAGTAACGATTGTCTCTTAAATTAGTTGTTGGTCTGTTGTTCTGAATTCCACTAAGTTCCACTGAATAGTCATGAGATCTGACAGAATTTGTTTTTTGTACAATTAAATGTTAGGATTATCTCCCTTTGCATTACAGTGTCACAGTTTAGCTCTATAACTCATTTTAGGAGAATTCAGTCAGGAAATGAAGAAGTGCAGGGATTTTCTAAAGACAATATAAACATCCTGCCTCTTTTGAAGCGTGATTACATGAAGTCCATCCCCTGATATTGTGCACTTTCTGGGGGACAGAGAAAGTCTCACAAACCCATGTAGTGAATCACCATGTTGTGCTACAAGCAGTCATGACTAAGTGATTGTGGCTGTTTGTGTCACTCCGCAGCTGCAGTGGCGACACTTTGCGCTGTCTCACACGCTGTGATTACTTCCTTGATGGGTGAAGAAATTACCGTCTTGGTGGCAGATGTAGCATCTCAAATGTATTTAAAGGCACATTCTTAGGTAGGTGGGTGGACTGTGCCCCATTTGCACACTAACAACTGCCTCCTGTAAGTGGTATGTTTAGTTCTATTATTATTATTATTGTTACCCGCATTTAACAGACACAAATGCTCATTTATTTTTAAGGTGATTTTAGAAAATTGCATTTTTAAACACAATAGACCATAACTGTCAATTCAGATCTACTGAAAATGTGTAGATGAATAATAGTACATAGAACTGATATACAGCACATCTATAATTCAGATCATTTTAAATACCACAAGAACATTGGGTTATTGTCAAGTAACGAAAGGACTAACACATGGCTTCTGAAGTTCATTTGGATCAGCAGAGAGTTTGTATTTTCACTATCAACTGTGCCCTCAGTTCATCTGTTGTGAACAAAAACAGAAATCAGACCATATTATCTAAAGACCATCAGCTGGCATCGTGCAGAGTCTCTCCACCTTTTTTTCCAGCACATAAATGGGCAGGGATTGAGACCCAGATTCTATTTTTGCCAATTAGGAAGCGCAAAGCCTGGTTAGTCCCAGTGGTGGATTTTTGACACAGTGCCTGAATTTATGATTGTACTGTTCCATACATTATTTACAACTCTAAGTTTGCCTCTCCTCGTTTCGTTTATGCCTCTGTACTTGTCAGCTCCCCTTCAGCTCTGCACCTTCCTGCTCCCCGTCTCCTCTGGCACTCTGCTGATGATCAAGGCCTGCAGCTTCACACCACTTAAGCCACTGCTCTTAATTTATTCGGCTTGGGTCCCCAAACACCCGTCATTTTCTCCTTTCTTCCCCTCCAACTCAATTTTCCTGGCGCTCTTTCCATCAGGGCCAATTACTTTGCCTTCCATTCCCGAGTCTGCATAGAGCAGAGGGGTCACCTTAATCTCTCTGCGTCTGAATCTTTTCAGCATCATCCCCCTTTTCAGATCTTCATCTTTGAGTCTTGAGGGATGAAGCGTGGCTTAAAAATAACACAGCTGGGTCCAAAAAACACTTAATTGTGTCGTCGTTTCCCTTTTCATACCATTTCGCCCTTTATCATTTATTTATTGTTTGGATAAGTTCAATTACATCTGAAATTTATATCAACTGTTGCCATGTGCCACTCAAATTGCCAGAGCATATGAAAAATATATCAAACAACATACTTACCAACACCATATGTGCCCACACTAATATTTACCTTGAGGTATGTTTTCCCTGTGTGCATACTGTAAATGTGTAACACAAACAGCTGGGCACAGACACTGTTGCTAAACTCAATATCTGATTATCTTACTGTGTTTAATAAATATTCTGGGGATATAATGCTACAAATAAAAAGGATGGAAATATCTGATAGTGGATGCAAAATTATTCAAAGTACTTCACTTGTGGCTCTACGTCTGCTAGTGGATTTTTGCAGGGGATTTCTGCCTTCTGCTTTAAATAATGGTGGAGGGTTGATTTGCTTGTGATGTGCTGAGAACCAGTGTAAGAGAGCAGAGTGTGTTAAGGATAATAGCATTGTCTGGGAATAGCCTCAATGGCATGTTGCATAACTTGTGAACATTGATTTTATTACTTAACAGAGCTCTGGCCCATTACCTAACCATCTCTGTGTGTCCCCATTAAGACCAGTAAAGCCAAGGTATTGATTTGATTGGAGTCAAAGCTAGTTTGCTTGGTTGGCTCTTGTGTTTCCCTTTGATCGGTGGAAGCATAGATGGATACTGCACATAGACAAACGGAAAGCACAACTACAAAAATCCCCGGTTAACTACAGTTCATGTGTTGAGAAAAGGTTTTTTCCATGTGCACTGCTTCCTGCACCAGAACCACGAGAACAGACAGAAAACACAGTTACCTCAAAACAGCAGCAGATTAAATCATGTCTGGTTAATGTTTTGAATTCTTTGAAGTTGTACAAATTAATATAAAAAGCCCCTTTCAGATTTTACCCACAAAGGTCAGTTATTTGTCTCTCTCCTCCATCTGCTTGTATCAGTTTTTCTTTCAAGTGTTATTACTGTGAAAACTCTTCCCGACTGACCATGTCATAGGTGGTGACGACTTTCTTTAGGACCTCTGGCAGCAGGCTTTGGGGCTCCAAGTTGGGGTACTGGTCAGAGAGGTTGAAAACCAGAATGGGGCTGTTGTCGGGTCCGGTCAGTCGAGGGGAAAGGGCCAAGATGCACTGCTTCAGGTTAGCCACCGCTGAAAGGCCGCACAGCTCTTTAAAGGACACTATGGCATTCTGCAGAGAGAGCAGAAAAGTTGCAGTAATGCTCACATGCAGTAAAGCTGGTTTATACCTACATGCCAGGCAAAACAAACATCTAATGATATAACCGTCCATAAAAGTCTGAAGAGAGAGGAACTTAATATTCCAGTCTGACGTTGATTTACATAAAACATAACCACAACCCCACAGAGTAACACGCTGTCAGAGGAAGTGGGTGGAAGCTTGCTCATTACCTGTGAGAAGTTTCATTTTGGCATTTGTTAGCCAAACTCAATCCCTCTAGACTGACAGCAGTATCACATGGAACACACACACACACACACACACACACACACACACACACACACACACACACACACACACACACACACACAAATCCTAACCTTCCTGTGAAAGGCCAAATTTAAACCCTACATAAACAACCGGAGGGACAAACTGTGACAGGACAGGGAAGATGTGTTACAGTCTCAAGGCCAGTGGCTTGTTATCACACAATGACTGCAATGTAAACAGGGCTACCAAAATAAATCCTAATACAATGCCTGAAGAGGAATAACATGAGACCAACCACAGAGTGTTGTCACACTCCAGTACAGTATTTCTCATAAAATTTAATATGTTCTGTTACATAGGATTCAAATGCGGGTAGAAGACCACAAATATGTGATAAATGTGAACACAGAAAAGAAATAAAGTCCAGGGTCACACTGGATTCATTATCATTCATTGGTAGCCATTAAAAAATGTGAGTGTGATGGTGCCTGGTTAAAGGTCATGTTCATCACCATCATGATTATTTGTTACCTTTTCATTCCACTGTTAAAAGTTCTGAATATCAATTACGTGGATCTACCATTCAAACAGGGCTTTCACCATAATGTTCTTTAACTTGTCTCTCTGCATCTGTTTTGACTATTGCGCAACACATGAGGATCAGATCAAATGTGGTTCAGTCGAGCCTGGTGGTTTTGTGTTTCTCTTTCCAGAGCGGGAGCCTTTTTTAGATGCTCAAGCTTCTTTGTAGTGAATCTGGTTATAATCATATATCTGTTATATTCTTGACTTGGGGGTATGTTTTCTTCAGTCTACTCTTTCAGAGAAAAACATTCTCATGCTGGAAGATGGAAGAAAAAGTAACACAGTCACCACTTATACCAGTGATGATATTGTTGGCTCAGTAGCAAGGACACAAGCAAATCAAATAAGCCTTTAATGGAGTTTAACTTCTTACCTGCATGTTTTCTCTGAGGTCCGTCGCCTCTCTCAGTGGCAGCATGGCTGTTTTGAAGACATCATCCACAGCCTTGATCAATAGCACTCTCATGCTGGCATACTCTCGACTCCTCTTGCCCTTTCGTACAGACAGTCCCCTTTTGTGTGGCTTGCCGCCTCCTCTTCGATTGGTTATGGCCACGTGAACAAACAGCAAGGTGTGTGGCAGAACTTCCCCTGTCAGAGACTGTAGCGGTATATGGCGGAAACCCGGTTGGAGACACTCAAAGGGGATTGTATACTGGCCAATAAATTCATCCCCAATGTAGTCGTCATCTAGCACCACAAAGCGCACCATTGCAAGCTCTGGGAGATTTATCTGAAACTCAAAGCTCTCATCAAACAGAGGGTTATCCCCGTTCTGGTTGACTGTCTTAGTCCTTTGTTCGGCGCAATCGGCAGGAATGCCGTGTATTTCCACATACACATAGGGGTCTACTACGTCTCCTTTGGCACCTGAGCCTTTGGGTTTGGGGAAGTTTTGTCCACTGATGATCTTGATGTGTAGGAGTTGTGGAGAAACACCAGGAACTGAATCTTTAGTGTTGGCACTAAAATACGAAACCTGCTCCCTCATGATGGCTGGACGCAGCACATAGCCACAGTTCCCATTCTGACGGAACCAGCCAATGTTTAGATCCATCATCAGGCCTGGAGTCTGGTAGTTCATTGCTACAATCTGGCAACCACACTTCCAGAAGTCTTGTGGATTCATATTGCTGGAGTCAATCCGCATGGGGCTGGGGTAAACCCGTGCCAGGTACTTCTTGTTATAGTTAACAAAGTCGCCTGGGAAGTCACTGGCACAGCGACTGGCAAAGACCTCGTTGAAAGAGCAGAGCTCCCAGTGCTTTTGGCTCTGGAAAGACGTTGGGAAGTCTCTGAACTCCACAGACTTACACAAGGTCACCAGGTCAGAGAGGTCCTTTGACAGCTGGAATTTCTTGGGTGCGATAGTCTGTTGTTCCGCAGACTCAATACTCATCCTTTGAGACATCTCTGCCCCCTCGTCCTCGTCTGTCACCTCACCTTCTGAAGCTGTGCAGTTCGTGCTCAGTTTCTTACCCTTCAGCAGGATCTTTCCCTTCAGCTCAGAGGGGGAGGGGAGGTAGCAGTCCTCAGGTTTAGGAATATCTAGGTGAATCTTGTCTCCAAGGATCTTCTTCAGGTGCTGAAACATGACTCTCTGCTGCTTTAAGGAGCAATGGTTTTCTAAACACACTATCAGTGGAAACTCAGATGCAACAAAGGCGTACTTGTTGATGACATCAATGACGCTGCGGAAAACTATCTGTGACGTCATTGTGTGGCCAGTGTAAATAACAGGTTCGTTATCAGGTCCATCCCACACATCTAGCTCTACGCTGCGGCAGCCCATCTTGAGAGCACGGATATACCCTGTCACATCTGAGGGACCTCTGAACTGATCCTCTATCAGGTATGTATTGTGGGATGCATTGATGTAATAGTGGGACAAGGGCTGATTCATGTCTTGGCATACTCTTTTGTGTTCTGGGTCAAATATGTGGCATTCTGGTGACATAAGATAGTTGGTGAAGCCATCGAGAGAAAGCCAGCCCTTGAGTTGGCCCTCTTTAGACGGTTCATATTTCTGAATGACCTCTAAGCTGGTGTCTTCACTTACTTGTGCCATACCCTGCTCCGCCTCCAGAAATATCATTAAGTCCTTGGTATCCAGAAATTCTTTGTTGCTGGAGAATTGAACAAAGAGAAAATAAATTTCTGGTCTGGTGCAAAGATCATGAAAGACCTCGATGAACTCGTCTTTTGTCACATCAGAACCTGCTTTGTCCTTAGCTTTGTGAAGCTCCTTGAACTTGAGTTCTATTTTCACATTTTTAAGTCCTGGGTTCAGCTTCTTGACTAGCTGCACGGCAGCACAAATTGTTATTTGTTTGCTGTTGTTACTGTCTGCCTCATCAAAAAGTTCACCTAGCCACGATGAGCGCATGTCATTCTGACTGCTCTCTATCATATTTAACGTGTGTTTCCCATAGGAGATCAGGTACCTCAGCCCTGTTACCCATATGTTGGCTACATCTGCAGTGTTTGCCACCAAGTCCAGGGACTCATAGTTCTCCCCAAAGATGACTGAGAAAGCACAGTCCTCTGATATCTGATCATAGGTTCCATTTGTTCTAAAAGTGTCTGTGTTTTTCCCTGTCCGAACCTCTTTGATGGATTTTACATCAATTTTGGCCTTTTCTGATTCCTTCTTTGAGGGTTCCCATCTCAAAGACTGCATGTCGGCATCGAGCAGAAAGTAGCGGTGGTAAATGCGCGAATTGGACCTCACTTTCTTCAGCTCAGTGCCGTCCACCATGGCACTGATGCAGTCACTCGCACTGCTGATTTTCTTCTCAGTGGGCATGCTGCTGAATGATACAGTCTTCTTTCTTTCTTTACGCTGTCTTGAGCCATCCTACACAGAAACAGAGGAACATTTTCCACAAATAAAAATCTTTCCACTGATATGAGAATAAATTATTATAATAAACAAATAACTACAACTTTTTCTCTTTATGTTTTAAAGTAATATAAATGCATGTTTCAAGTTCTTACAGTTTGAAGATAGGGTTATGCTCAATGTTGCTTTGTTTCTCATCGTTAAACAAATCAACCAAGTCTGTAAAGAATAAATGTTTGATGTCCGTTTATGGTTATTTTCAATCTTTCACAGGTGAAGAGGGAAACATAAACCAACCTGACTCAAAAAAGAAAATACAGTTCTTTGTTAAGTACACACACATAACATTGTATTACACCAGATTCATATTCGTACATAGACCAGACAATGTGTTGCTTGTCAATACAGTGACAATTGTTTGTTTTAATCATTCCCTCAATCATTCCGTCAACCATCCACCTTTGTTAGTGTACATGGAGATTCTCTTAAAGCCAAAAACGAAACACAGGACAAACACAAATGCTAACCTCTATCCTGGTCACTACAGCAGTAATATTGTTTGCCATATGTCTTCATTAATGGAACCAAATCTGTTTACAATACCTTTCTGCCTTCAGTGAAATACCCATTTCACAATATTTTAAGTTTGACAAATGTCAAAAGGATTCAGGTTTAAATATTGTGCCTTGAAGTTGTCACACTGGAAAGACCAAATTCCAGTAAATGCCTATACCACAGAACAACACAACATGCTGCCTGCTCTGATATACTGTCTCCATGTTTAGTCCTTCCTTCCTGGTCCCTCTTTGTTCCATTGGAGCATTTGCTGAACAGAATCACAGCAGCAACTTTGTTGGGTTACTTAAGGTACCTGTCACTGTATATTATGGAGATAGAACAGGGAATCTCCCTCAGGAAGTATCGCCCACACAAATCCAGTTAACTACAGCAGCCACATTTCTGACATTTTCAATGAACCCTGCTCTTTCCACTGCAGCAGGTTCCTTCAGCACAAGGACACCATTTTATATTTTAAATTATTCAAACTTATATCACAAATTTAGCACCAGCCAAACCCAAACCATTGTTTATCATCATGTGGCAGCGTATTGGTACCACTTAATACAAAAGGAATGCATCACTTTGTCAACAATAGGATGTTGCCAACTTAAAAATTCCTGACTGCACTCCAGTAGAAACCCTTGGTCTTTATTTTCCTTTGGGGATAAATGAAATGCTCAAAACCTTCACAACCTCTTATGTAATCAAACTCAGATGCGTATAGCATGGACAAAGCCACAAAATGATTGCACTGGTTGCATGTATGATTTTCATGTCTGTAAATGGATAGATGAGCTTTCACACATCCTTCGTAACAGTCACATCTTCTGCATTTTACTTAAACAAATTTAGTTTTGTAAATACTCTCAGCAGAGAAGGCTAGTTTTTGACTACACCAATTGAGATAGATGGCAGTGTAGCAGATCAGCTTTTAGAAATTGTTGAAGCTGTTTCATCATAATAACTTTTGTCCCGTCTGCTTACTGTCTCCTCTATGATCTTACACACTACCATGGCTCGGCAGTGGCTGTTAGAGGTACACAGGGATTGGCTGTGCTGTGCTACATCATGCACATACTTGTTTGCAATCTGACAATATGCAGTTACTGACGACAGTGCAGCCTGCTGCTGACAGCATAGTGTAAGTCAGATTGTTTATTTGCACAATTAAGACACCATAGTAGATGACATACAATGATAAAACTAAATGGATATGTACAGAGGACAGAAGCCAAGGAGATGCAAACAAAGTCCTACCCAATGTAAAAACTATCTCAAATACAATCAAGTACAATAATAAACATCCTATCAAACAGATCCAGGAAAGCCTCAGTCTGCAACTCTGAACTTTTAAACCCAGCCAAATAATATTATGAAATGATTTTTTAAATCAATTAATCATTATAAATCCCATCTGTGTGCTGGAGTATTTCAAAACACAGATTGTGACACGTTTACTCTGATTGGATGAATTCTACACCTCTCTGTGAACCCTGCATGGCCCATGTCAAATAAACTGTAAACATACTAATCACATTCCTTTACACTGTCTGATGCTCAAAGGGAGTTCATTATATAAAAGGGGAGCTTAAAATCAAAATGCATGACTGCAGATAATCCTTATGATCTGGGCAAGAATGTGGACTAGACTATATATTACCCCTTTGTTACACAGTCACAGCTTACTGATGGTATGTGCCTGCTTCCTGCTGTACTGTAAGAGCTGCAATGCCAGCCATTCACCTCAGGATTTCCCTCTGCTTCCTTTACCAAAACTAGAAAACAATACTGCACTCACGCACACAGACACACACACACACACATCTCTGTTTTAGCATATGTTATTATTTCCTGAGAGGACTATTTCTTATGCAACAGTCCGTTTTCTGGCTCTGGTGGAAGGTGGAGGTGGCCAAGGGCGTTTTCTTTTGCAATAAGTACAGTTTTATTAGTTCTTAAAAAGGTCCTTAAAAAGACATGATCACCATTATCAGACTGCCTATTTATAGTTTTATCAGATACTTCATCTCTGTTTCTTGGATTTCAATAATAATAACACAAAGTGATTCCAAAAATTTTGTTAGCCAGGCCAAAGCACATCACCAAAACAAGTTAAACCTTAGAAGACCTTGATCTGTCCTCCAAAGATTTAGAAAAAATTGAACTGATTACTTTAAAGGATTTTACCTGCACAATTTGATGGGGAGTGTATTTAAGTCCACAGCAGCATGTTTCGAAAAAAGTACATTTCATAAGCCAGAAAATTACAGCACCAGTGAGTACATCCTGTGTCACCGGTGTTGATCAACAACCTTATCTAGTCAGGTGTACACATACAAAAACTTACTGCCACGCCATGCTATTACTCATCACTTCTTTTAAATCTGTGAAACTAATTTTTTTATACAATGCTAGGGGAATTGAGGTCACAGTCTGTGTTTCATTGTTAAAAGAATTTTTTTGCATAGCTGTTGCTTAACAGTGCTCATTATCCTTTACTGAGCTCATTTCTCTTTTTAGTTATGTTCAGAGAAGAAACGCAGTGGTACATTTTGAAAGCAAGTCAGTGGAATATAAAAAGGGATATTAGATGTTTTCATGGGGTTCCATAATAAAGAGATAATGACAGGCCGATCCCGGTAGGCTCACCCTGATAAGGTAGATTACTTTTATGCCTTTACATACTGTTTAAATATATGTTTGGTGTGTTTTAGAGGGTGTGTGATGAGTGAGTGAAGGAGAAAGAGAATGAGTCAGAGAGAGAAGCAAACACAGCAAGAGATGATGAGAAAGCAAGATGGAGAGAGTATGACTAAGTGAGAGAGTATATCCAACTGCTCACAGATCCCATAGGAATCTGAATCCCCTAATGGGCTGAATCTTGCATTTTTTTTTCTGGCTCAGTGAGCAATTATGAACTGCCTGTACAACCGAGGACATCACAGGGGACCCATTACTCTCTGCTCCACTGTTCTACCTACATCCCCAACAACAAGCAATGTGAATCACCTGAATCGCATCACAGCACAAAGCAACTTTTAGCAGGATTGGTTTCAGTTCACAATAATGTTAATCAAGTCAATCAAAGGAATTTCATCTGAATACAAACGGAACACTGTGACCAGACTGGTCCAAATGTGGCTCTTTTATTAGCCTAATATATGTCTCTGTGGTTTCCATTGTTCGGTGGCTGCTAGTGATGTTCATGAGCAGACTTATTCAATAATCAGTTAGTCAGTCTTGTTTACCACTGCATGTAATATCAGCATTTTAAAGTCACAAGACATGTTGATATGCTGCAGACTTTCTTTTTGTATGTGGAAACATGTAACATCATGTGGTTTAATGTAGACTGTTAGTCCTCAGATTAAGAGTCATGATTAAGCCATGGCTGTATTAAAGTTTTCCACTACCTACCAAGCAAAGTAAAGTGGGGTGACGTGTTGCTGTATGATACCCAACAAATTAAAGTTAAAACATACCACAAGGTGCCAGAGTATGTCATCTAACTGATTTAAGCTCAAAGTTACCTTTTTGGAACAGCAAAAAAAAAAAAATCCTTATTTATTTAAAAAAGAAAAGAAAAGTGAAAGCTAAATGGTGGCTCATTGGTGACTGAATCATAATCTCAGTACTGACTTTATTTGTTACAAAATTCAGTGTTAAGTATGAAAATCAGTTCAATTCATTCAGTCAGTCACAACAGACTGCAGTTTTTAGTGCCATATATGTAAGTTGGATTGGTGCACGTCCAATTTTTTCTAAGCAGACTACAAGAAAACAAAGGTAATATATACCTATATATATAATGATATATACTGTATATATACTGTAATATATATACAGTATTGCTCAATCCATAATAATATGCACATGAAGGAACATTACAACAAAGCTCAATCTCTGAGTATTTTATGCTTAAATCCCATGTTCTCTACGAGTTGACTATTAGAGATGCATGATTAATGCATAAAAAATTGCACTTTTGAGTCATATACATAACCATGTGCAATCCCATTTGTTTATGATAGCTATTGCATTGCTTAACAATTAGCATGGAGATCTCTTGCGTTACCAACTCCTGAAAATTTCTTTCCAAGCTGCCTTGTTAAATAACAAGACTGTGTTAACACCACCTGATAGGTTCAACAGGCAGAGGAGGCTGAGATGAAAACAAATATAAAGTGTGAAAGAGAGTTGGGAGAGTAACACGGTGAAAACGCTTAGGAGGAACAACGAAAACTAGAACAAATGAGTCACAAGGAAACCTCACTGTTGACAGTAAGGAAGAGGAAATAGCACACGCACTGCAACCATTTTAACACCATCAATTCATACAACCAAAAAAGATCTCACAAAATACAATACGATGAAGCCATCAAGGCCGAGAAAAACACCAACATATCCCTTTCACCTGCACAGTCTGATCTGTTGGAGACCGAAGGAGGAAAGAA